GGAGAGGCAGACCGCCCCGACTCCGCAGCAGCAGGGAGGCCCCACACTCCAGACCGCAGTCGGATGGCCAATTCGATAACTCTTAATCTCCTGACAGTTTCTCATCCATTAGATTCTGTTCAGCTACGGAGTCCACCAGCACGCAGCATGTAAAAGTCTTGTTGTTGGTCACTATGGTAACAGACAGTAACAATCAGGGTCTAGTTGTGTTCAATGTGCTGCCCACCTGTATCCCCTGACTCACCAGGGATACGGGTGGGCAGCACGGGTGGGCCGGGCAAGCAGCAATGCGGTGACCAGGCTTCCCACAGCATAAGCAGTCCCCAGCCCGAAAACGGCATTCCCTTTCTTCCAGTGAGAGCCGGGAGCGACCGATTTGTATAGGTTCTGGCAGGGGAGGCGATGGAGAACGAGTGCTTGCAGCCGCGGGTTGAGCCGACAAAACGTGAAACTCCGGCCGCAATACGGGCCTCGATGGCTTGAGCCACCGCTCGGCATCCCTCTCCCGCAGGCGTCTATCAATCCTGCGGGCGAGGGATGCCAGCTCCTCAAAGGTTTTTGTTTTCTCGTGGAACGCAAGCTGGTCTCTCATCTGATCGTTCAGCAAGCGTAAAAAAATCCTGCGGAGGGCCGAATCGGGCCAACCCACGGCAACCGCCATGGTCCGAACCTCTACTATATACTCAGCTACACTGCCCCGCCCCTGACGGAATGCCAATAATTTCTGTGCCGCATCATCCTCAGAGATCGGAGGAGAGAAGGTCGCCTTGAACTCCTCCAGAAAGTCATTGTAATGGCAAAGATGAATTGGATGCGAAGTTAAATAAGCCTCAGCCCATGGTAACGCCTGTCCCCGCAGCAGCCCAACAAAATGGGAAATCTTAGCAGCATCTGTGGGGAAGGCATTCGCCGCACAGCTAAAAAATAGGGAGCATTGAAAAAGAACCCCCCACACAGGTCCAGCTCCCCGTGGAAGGGTTCCAGCAGCGGAGAAGATATGCCGCGGTACGTAGGATCGGGTTGTTTGGCACGCAGTTCTTCCTGAGTGTGTATTGGTCCTGGAGTGACTGGAGCAGCTGATCATGCCGACCAAGTATAGCGCCCTGCTTGTTAATAGTGGAGCGTATTGGATCTGCTGGGTCCATCCTGGCCAGTCCATACTGTCAAGAACCATAGTTTTAGCACGCAAGCTGGACCTAGAAGCAAACACAATATGCCGGGATGCACGCTGAATAACTTTATTTCTCAAACTAAGGGCGTCCCGGAATGATCAAAGGAAAACATGCAGTGTTAATATTAGAACCAAGGGACCGAGAGATAACAACTCGGGAACGCCGTGATCGGGACCATGGGACCATGCAAAAGAGAAGGGAAGAGAATTTCTGGGGAGCAGGGAGATAACAGCATACAACGGGGTAGAGCTATTTATCTTACAATCAGGGCTGGGCCGTGGGAACCGGAGGGGTGAGGGTCCGCGGGAGAGGGCTCCAGGAAGGCGGAGGAGATGATGACCGGTGGCTAATCTGAACTCCAGGCGGGCAGGAGGACGGGCAGGTGTAGGCTCAAACACGCCGAACAATAACCTGGGCACACGGTAGAAGGATTAACATAGTTCAAAAGAAACCTGAGATTCCACATCCACCTTCATGTGAGTGCCAAGTTACCGCTGAATGGTGACTAACGGACTGGCGTGGAGTAGCCGGCCGTGCGGGGTTAAATAGTCCTCCTGATGATCGCCTGGAATGGGATGCAGGTGTGGAGACAACAGCGACACCCGTAGGCGTGGGCATCCCATCCGCTCCTCAGGCACCAGGCCGCGGACCATGACACTCTTACTGTATTGACTTTGCAATCTTCTCTGAAAAGGATGTGATATTAAGGGTGTGCGACTATCGTAGTGTGTATACGTGCTTTGACTGGGCCAGCACGTCAAGGTGTGTGTGGGAGTTGTTATCCAGTATTGTCCTTATCTTTGACAACATCCATCTCTCCAACATGACTTTTAGAGAGTTCAGCTCCAACTCCACAACATTACTGGCCTGGCAGATAAGTTTATTGAGTCTGTTATCGGCAACCCTTAACCTTCTGCCACCAATTGTTCTGAAATGTTCAGTGTAATAATAAGTGTACTTACATTTCTGTGCTTCTTTGCCCTCCCTAACTAGGGCAAAGAATGGCTCCACCTGGGGAGAGCAATTGGCACAAATCCATAGTCTCCTTCTCTCTGGATATTCTTTTTATAATGAAAGGGAAGAAAGTAAAATTGAAATGAAAGCAGGGAAGCTGCTGCTGTGTGTGGATGAACAGCAACCCTGAGTATAAATAAAAGATGCTGAAAAGCAGAAAAATGTCGTCAGGTCTGCCATGGTCATTTACAAATACCAATTAGTGTCTCTGAAGGACATGAATTGTCCGGCATTTTGGCTAAACGAAACTCAAAGGTGTTCAAAGGATGACCGGAGGGCAGAGGGGAACTGTTTTGCCCACTTGGTGAATGTTTCTCTGAAGCTCTGGTGTCATATGGAAACTATGAATTGTCCTACTGGGAGAGTTCATTGCTGAAATGGGCACAATCAGTGACAGCTTCTTGGGGTACGATTATGAAGAAAAGTCTGGCTGATCTGAAC